CCCTCCCTCCCTCTCTCATTTCTGATGTTGTATTCTATTAGCAGAGACAGCAATAAAGTCATCATCCAAAGGCTTTGCATGAGACAAATAGCAAGTGATAACATTGATAGGTTTGTGGGGAAATGAATGGCTTTGTGGGGATGCTGCATACTCCTGGACGGATATTCTTTTAGCCTTTGTGTATGCTCAAAAGATTTCAGCAACATTATACGTAATATACACATATTATTTATATTTGGGACTTACATTTTGAACTCTGTAAACAACATTTCTGCTGACCCTTTTTCTGCTCTGTTGCCTACAGTAAGTGTATATATATACTATAAGGGACATTGTGAGACTTAATTAACTGGATATCTTTTTCTCAAAGAAAAGTTTCATAAGAAGTATGCTAATTTAAATTTTTATGTATTTTTTTCCCATTTTTGTGGTAGGGACATTGATAGACTTCCTTCCCTTGTCCCCTCGCTTCATTAACTGGATATCTTTTTCTCAATGAAAAGTTACAAAAGGAGTGTATTAATTAAAAATGTTATTTATTTTCTTCTTTTTTTTTTGTGGTAGGGACTGCAAAGGGGGGATGGGGAGGGATTACGTGAAGAATGTGTTTCATAGTTCGTTTTTTTGTTGTTTTGTTTTGTTTTGTTTCTAAAAACATCTAAGATTTCTCAGGATTGCATTTCATTCCCTTTGTTTACATTGTTTGTTTATTTGCAACACTTTTCAGTTTTTACATTTTTACTTTCTTAAGTCTGATCAGATTGCGACCCTTTAACCCATAACTACTTGTGCTCACTATGATGTTTAGTCCAATCGTGCTATTCGATAAGGCTTTATTATCATTTGTTTTCTTGTGTTTTCCATCAAAGGAACGAAATCGTATATTAAATACATATATTAAATATTAATTATACTTTTGTATAGCTATGATTTTTACTGGAATGAAATTACATTAAAGAAATAGTTATGCTTTTTTCATATGCCATGAATGGAATCCAATTTTCGACCAAAGATGATAATGCTTATTAAAAAGACAGAAATTTGCTCTAACATGCCTGCCAAGTATGGTGCTAATATATAATAGTTCATTCATTAATATATTGCATCTATTGTTCCGTTCGTGCTAATTGTGCTTGCATTCAAAATGTGTGTTGTTTTAGATTTCAGCTGTGCATGTAGCCTACTTTCATTTGTCTTTTTATTTGGTAAGAGTTTTACAGCCCTCGCAACTGCATTAAGTCGTATTATGAGCTCGCATCTGAACGTTGGATTTGAACCCAGAACCTCAGCATGTTTGCCAAGTTACTAATGCTCAACAACCACAGAGGATGAAAAGGAAAAGTAGTAATGATTTGTGGGTGGTTGGCGGGTGCTCTTGTGTGGTTTGCTCCTGCTTTCCTACCAAACATCTATCTTCCTTGTCTCCCCTCCTTCTTTTTTATGTTTGTTACTCTCTTGTAACACCTCTAATCTTCAGCACTTATACGACC